TGGACATGCTCCAGCAACGCAACGTCTTTCTTGGAGTGAGGGGCCCAAAACTGACCCCAGCATTCGAGGTGGGGCCTCACCAGCACCGAGTACAGGGGCACGATCACTGCCCTGCTCCTGCTGGCCACACCATTCCTGATACAAGCCAGGATGCCGTTGGGCTTCTTGGCCACCTGGGCACACTGCTGGCTCATATTCAGCCGGCTGTCAACCAGTACCCCCAGGTCTTTTTCCACCAGGCAGCTTTCCTGCCACTGTCCCCCAACCCTGTAGCATTGCATGGGGTGGTTGTGATTTGTACAGTCCAGGGGTGGCTGTAGTCCTCTGGGCTGCTCTCCAAGACATGACTCTGCCCTAACCTTGTCCCATCCTTTCTTCTTCCTTCCCTGCTCTGCTGGACTCATTTACCTCAACCGTGGCCAGGGGCTGTGGTGTCTCCGTTTCCCTCTCTTGATTCACACACGCGTTACGGTAGCGCTTGAGGATGGAGCCCTGTTGTGCTGGGTGCTGTAGGAAGAGATGGGGAATGGCTCCCTGCTCGGAGGAGCTACCGTGCCAGGATACGCATTGTGCTCACAGTCTCAGGCCTTCTCCATGGCTTTCAGTGGTGATGTGACAAGTTACATCCTCAGGCGGGGAATGTGCTTTTGGAGCAGGTGAACTGGTGAAACACAGCAAACCAGAAAGTGCATGTCTGACCTGGGAACTGACTGGGAGGGGGGGAAACCCTTCACAGAAAGGGCTGTCAGGCTCTGGAATGGGCTGCCCAGGGAGGTTGTTGAGTCCCCATCCCTGGAGGCATTTAAAAGAAGGGTAGATGAGGTGCTTAGGGACAGGGTTTGGTGGTGGGATGGCAGGGTTAGGTTAACGGTTGGACTTGATGATCTTAAAGGGCTTTTCCAACCTAGACAATTCTATGATTCTATGAAAGGAAGGGCCTGCCTGTCTTTTTGTGCTGACTCAGCAAAATGGCAGCAAAGACCAAAGATAGGCCTATGGCTATGTCCACATGGGGGCTGTAAGACAGTGCAGAGGAGCTCAGTGCTGCCTTGCACCAGGAGTTGATGGTACTTGGGGGTCTGGGCTGGGACACCCTTGCAGTCTGTTCAGTCTGGTCAGTCAGACCGATGCCAAATGGTTCAGACCCATGTTGTGTGCACCTAACAGCAGCGTGCTCGGTGTGTTGGGGTCTCTCATGCCATTACCTGAGCTGTGCAGCTGCATCTTGCCCGCTGCTGTGGCCTGAGTGAGCCCAAGTGAAGCTAGCCCAGTTCTGCCCATACGTGTCCCACCTCAGCTTGCGTCACGGGACTTTGCAGAGAAGGTCACTGTGGTTCCAGCTGTAGGACACTGGAGAACAGACTCCAGGAAGAGGCTGTGGAAAAACTTTGGGAAGGAAATGCCACAGAGAGAGAGGAAATGTAAAGCTAACCCCACTTTGCGTCTCAAAACCTGATTTCGCATGCACAGGCCTCTCCATTAATGAGTTCTGTTACTCAACACTACTGCGTACACGCCACCAAGCATTCATGGTGTGGGAATGCAGGGCTTTTCTCTGGAATTTCTTACCACAAAGAGCTTCCACCAGCTGAGACTTAGGGCGAGCATCATGAAAGAGACTGAGAGGAGAAAGCTCCTGGGGAAAGAGGACTTGTATTTAAACAAGGTGGACCTAAAGGCCAAGAGTGTGTCTCCGTGGAAAGGAATAGGAATCAATTTGGGGTAAGACAGACAGCTGAGTTAAGATAAAAGGGCACGAGGACTTGCGTGAGGAGCACACAGACAGTTGTTCTCAAATATTGTCCTTCAATATTCTGAGAGGCCAACGGGAGAAGGTTCAGCAAATGACAAGCCAAGCTCTCCCATCGCTGTAAGACTGAATTAGCTCTCTTGGGAGACGAAGTCCTGCTCTGAATATAAACTGCATTCAGACTAAATTTAAACTGGGAGCCATTCCCAAATATTATGGGAGTAAACCCAATTACGCTGATGTTTTATTGTAAGAGTTAGAAATCCTACACAGAAATGTAGGAGCTGAATCCTACACATTTTCTGCCAGCTTAGCTCCCTGCACCAGCCACTGGCAACTGAGAAGAGAGGCAGCACCAGCAGAGGGGAGGGCATGGGCACACAGCTGGGGACCCAGGCAGAACCGTACTTCCAGCCATGGTTCCTACAGCCAACCCAAACCAACCTCTCCTTCTCTTCATCCCCTCCAGAGAACCCGATTTTGGACCGTCTTCTGCCTGAGCACCAAAGGAAGGTGCTGGACAGGCTCTCCACTGGCCTTCCGCTCGCTGTGACTGCCAACCTAATCAGCGATGAGGACTACTGGAAGAGGTGCTGCACCGAGCGCTGGCACGTGTGTGACATCTCCAACTATGGAGACAGCTGGAAGCGGATGTTCTTCGAACGGCACCTGGAGAACATCCTGAAACGTTTCATCCCTAACACCACAGACCCCAACCAGGTCCTAGAGCTCATCCCGCTCTGCAAAGACTATGTGCGGAAACTGGAGGTTGATCAGTTCCTGCCACCGGTGCAGGAGGATCAAAAGGAGGAGAGGGATGACCTCTCTGACACAGGGAGTGATTTTGGATTTGGTGAGGTCTCCATGCATCACTACGACCTGGGAGTCCTCATTACTGCTCTCCCTCACCTTGAAGAGCTTCATCTCACTTATGGCGTGAAGGACTGTGGCATGAACTTCGAGTGGAACCTCTTTAACTTCACCCACCAGGACTGCCGCAACCTGGCTGTCGCCGTGAAGATGTGCCACAACTTGAAAGTAACATATCCCAAACCGAACCTTCTTTCCTCAGCTAGATCCTCAAATAGATCCCTAGATCCAGGGATAGAAGGCCAGGGACCAGTTTTGCTTGCTGGTAGCACCTTTCTTTTTGCAAGCTGCAGTCTGAAGAGATGTGAACTTGCTGGCCTGGTGCTGAGTATCTTGTTCCACCTATGTCCTTGTTAGAGCGGGTTGTCAGAGGGTCGGTGAGAAAAATACTTGCTCCCACAAAACATGTTCCCTGTTGCGCAAGAGAAAGCAACAGTCCTGTTTTAACTTCTCACGTCATTCTGGGAGGGAGGAGAAGCCCAGAGAGAGTTTTTGATAAGGAGGTTTTGGTAGTTACACTCAGTAAATACATGATAAATACTCAGAAGAGCATGGGGAAATACTCACATTTTGCCTTAGGTGTTCTCCTTCTGGGGACTAACACCGTCTTCAGTTCTGTGGCAACCTCAGGGCAGATACCCGGCCCCTCCAAGACACCAGCGGGCATTGCTATCCAGAGGGCAGCCAGAGCGAGCTGGCTCAACGCTCTCCCCACAGATTGGCGTGCTTTGGGAAATATTTGTCTGGTTGGCTTCCAGAGAGAAATTACCTCTCCTGTGGCTGTTAAGGTGCCCTGGCCACGCAGGACATTGCCCTTCACAGAGAGCACTGTGGTTACCACTGGTGCACATGCTTGTTCAGATAGATCCTGTGGAGTCAGAGGAGAGGAACAGGCATTTCCAGATGAACCATTTGTCCCTAGAATAGGCATGGGACATGAAGGGCATGCCCTGCTTGCTGGAAGTATCTGCCCGCTGTATCTGAGTCTCCATCTGCTCAACTACTTGAGCCTACTGGCTAAAGGTGTCTGAAGTGAAGGGAGATGAATCCTGTCTGGTGGGCCATAGGCTTAACTCCCTTGAGGTCTTGTACAAAGCTCAGTCCAAGGCACTGGCTGTTTTAGAGTCCCTGTCCTTTACCCCCACAGGTTTTGAAGCTGACACGAAGCAAAGTGGACGACGACAAGACCAAGCTGCTGGTCCATAACTTGCTGGATCACCCCTGCTTGGTGGAGCTGAACTTGTCCCACAATCTCATCAGGGACAAGGGGGCACAAGCTATTGGCAAGTTGATCAACCGCAGCAAATTAGAAACCCTCGATCTGTGTAACAACCAGATTCATCACCTGGGGGCTGAGGCTCTTGCTCAAGCCCTGGCTGAGAACTCCACCCTGACCTCCCTCAACCTGCGCCTCAACTGCCTGGAGGACAAAGGGGGGGAGGCAATCGGCCATGTCCTGCTGACCAACACCACCCTGAAGTCCATCCATCTGGGAAGTAATAACCTGTCACAGCCAACCGCTACGCTTTTCTCCCAGGTCCTGGCTCAGAATACCACCCTGAGGAGTATCAACTTCTCATGCAACCACCTGGGGCCGGTAAGAGAAACCCCTTCTCCCCGCGGTTTGCCAGCCTGCATGGTGGCCTCACAAACAGAGGCTGAGCCTGCCCTGCCTCAAAGCCACAGAGACAAATGCATCACTTGCTTTGCAGTCTTGCAGCGATAACACAGAATCCCAGAATCACAAGGGTTGGAAGGGACCTCGGGAGATCACCCAGTCCAACCCCCCTGCTCAAGCAGGCTCACCCAGAGCAGGGGGCACAGGACATCGTCTAGGCGGGCTTTGAATATCTCCAGAGAAGGAGACTCCACAGCCCCCCCGGGCAGCCTGGGCCAGGGCTCTGTCACCCTCAAAGTCAAGAAGTTCTTCCTCATATTCAACTGAAACCTCTTCTGTTTCAGTTTGTGCCCATTGCCCCTTGTCCTGTCGCTGGGTACCACTGAGAAGAGTCTGGCTCCGTCCTCGTGACACCCACCCTTGAGATATTTGTACGTGTTGATGAGGTCCCCTCTCAGTCTTCTCTTCTCCAGGCTGAACAAGCCCAGCTCCCTCAGCCTTTCCTCATAGGGGAGATGCTCCAGTCCCTTTATCATCCTAGTTGCCCTCCTCTGGACTCTTTCTAGGAGTTCCTCATCTTTCTTGAGCCGGGGAGCCCAGAACTGGACACAGTGCTCCAGGTGGGGTCTCACCAGGGCAGAGCAGAGGGGGAGGAGAACAACCAGTTGCAAGCAGGGCAGAGACTCGAGCAGACGGCAGGAAGGAGGACATCTTCTGTGCACGCACACGCATTTATCTCACTCGTTACATCTAGCTCTCCTCACAGGGCTGAATCTGGCTTCCAGGCTTTGGGCTTTTGGGCAGAGAGGGATTCTTCCCCCCCCACCCACCGCCCCCAGGAAACTGAAAACTGGGGAGTGCGTCTGGGAAAAATCACAGCCGCTTCACACACGTGGGAGTAGATAATAATGCTAGGCGGCATGAGACGAGGGCCTTCCGCGTCTCCTCTGTGCTTCGGATCTGCCGTGCCATCTGGCACTCAGCAGCATGCGGATAGTGTCACCCTTCCCAGAATCTCTCCTGCCCATCGCACGCTCAGAAGAGGCTGTTAGAAATTCGGCTGGGTTGCTGAGCTCCTTTAACACACCCTGGAGCGGTGCGGTAGGTCAAAAGTGTGGCATCTGGGCGCTCCTAAGTGGCTCCTAAACCACAGGCTTGCATTTTCTAGGCAGAGGAGCATCCGCAGGTCTTACTGCATCCTTAAGAGCCGCAGTACGCAACAGGCCCACAAACCAGACCGCTTCTCTTCTGATTAAAAAGAGCTTTAGAAATCTGAAACTAGACAGCCAAATGCAATCATGCCAGCTTTTCAACTTTCTGTGCTGCCTCAATTTTCCTCGCTGTCACAATAAAGAGACAGCAAGACCAGCTGTCCCTGCTGGCAGGAATATTGGCATCAGTGTGTTTGACAACGGTTTTAAAAGGATTTGATGGCAGAAAACCTTTTGTGAGTTCTGAGTTTTATGATCCTGGACGTGGAAAACCCTTTGAGTTTAATGATACAGGGGGGCAAAGGTTGGAAAGAAGGATTTTTGCTTAGTAAACAATAATCTCTGTGCTTAGCATCTTCCTTCTGATGAGCTCTCCTGCTACCCACTTGTGAAAGCTCCACAGCAGCCCAACAAGTGGGCTCATGGTATGATCTTTGGGGAAATGGGGGTCTTTGCTAGAGATGCATCAAATTCTGACCTCCATACCCCACTAAAAAGAGACTCCTTCCCGGCCTCTTTTGCTCTGTCCTTTTTGGCAAAAGGCCTAAGAGGCAGGGTTGGAAGGACCACCTGGATGGAGGAGATGGAGGCAGGAGCTGTAGAGAGCTGTGGGGGGAAAAAAGTCACATTGTCACATCCCTCAAGAGAGTGCTTCAGGTAAGGGAAAGAAATGCCCCAAAGTGAGTTGCCTCCCTAAGGCAATCTACATCGCACTCTCTGTCCCGTCCAGGCTGGACTTCAGTTGTGTGAGATGTCCCCCCTCTCCAGGAAAGCCAACCCAGCCTGGGAAATGGCATCCAGGCAGGAGACTGCCAGCATGGGGGCTCTCGCCACAGTTGAGACAGGGCGCAGCACGCTGATCACACCACCATTTGTCCCCAGCCAGCAGTGACCTGGGGACCGGGGCGAGCAGAGATTCCTCTCAGGTATCACCATTGCCAGCCGTGCTATGACCCAGCCTGAGCTTGAGGACTCCTGACACCGTACCCAGAGGGAGTCATTAGCATGTGTCACATCACCGAGCGCTGCGTAAGGTTACACTCCTCCACTGAGTACTTCTCCCGTGAGCAACGTTTTGGGCTTGGGTAAAGGCCTTTGTCCCTTTTGGCACCATCTCATGGGCTCCCCATCACCAGCAGCAGAAGTTGCCCTGGGGAGGAGGGAAAGGGAGCAACACGCTTCACTTTTGGATCTCCTCTTTTAACTGTGTGTCCCCCCCCTTCTCACCCATTTGCAGGATGGTGGGAAGCAGCTGCTTGACGGGCTGGCGGATAACAAGGCTTTGACCGAGTTCGACCTCCGCCTGGCAGAGGTGGGCCAGGAGACCGAGTACCTCATTCACCGAATTGTGTGGGCCAACCGGGAAGCGGTGCGGCTGGGGTCTCCGCAGCACCCCCCCGCCAAACCCCTCTGAAGAAAACGCTCCAGAGGGCAATGAGCTCTGCAAGGTGCAGTGTTGGAAATACTTTACCTCGAGGCTTGGGTTTATTTGTATTTCTGAGAAACACCCAACTTGTGGCCACCACCGCAGCCTTTCCCAGATCCCCATCATCCATAATGCCTTAACACGAGACAGACATTAGACCTCATGGGACTGTAGTGGCACCCCAGAAGCAATCTGTCTCTTGAGCCCTCTCTCCCACTGCACCCGAGATTAAATCCCACCTCCCGTGGTGTCTCTCACCTCCCGTGGTGTCTCTCACGTGCTCCGGCAGCAGGCTTATTTCAGGCAACGGGACGTTGTTCCACCTGTAAAGCAGCTAAGGTGAAGTCTCCACCATCTAAATGGTCTAGTCCAGACCTAACCTTCAGGGCAGGCAGCTCTTTTAGGCTTCTTGCTGAGGAGGACATGAGATGCGTGGAGGGTAGAGGGAATGTTGTTTCCAGTTCCTCAGCAGCTTTTTCTGGCTATTGCTCTGCTCAAGGATTTATATGTTTTTATAGGAAAATCTGTCTGGAGTCTCAGATACAGGTGGTGAAAAGTAAAAAATAAATTCAAGAAATGATAGGTCTCTCCACCATGGTTTCCTGCTTTGAGTTTCCATGCCTTTGCAAACAGGTGAATTCTTTCCAACCAGATGCTTACCTTAACAGTAGTGCTCTTCTGTGCAAACCTGTCAAAAAAAATCTGTGTCCCGCTTAACTTCAAGCTAGTTGGTCCCACACCACCACCAGGGTGTGGGACCCTGGTCCCACACCACCACAAGAACAGACAAGTCCCTGCAGGACTGCTGGCCCACACAGCCCACAGGGTTGAAGCCGGAGCAGCTTCCTTGGGCTTGGAGGAAAACGGAGTGCCCCACGGGCTGGGGCCACCTGAGGACAGGACAGGGCACGTCCCCGATTGCCTCAGCCCTTCGACCGCCCCACTCAGGGGAGGTCAGCAGGGAATGAAGCAAACGGGGCTGACCTCCATCCCCTCCCACCCTCTGAGCAACGTGGGGGCTTCACACGTGGTCCAGCCCTGCCCGGCACCAGCGCCCACAGACCCACCGCTGGCGGCCACCTCAGTGAATCATCTGAAACGTTTTATTACACCGATTTGGTTTACAATCTTTGTACTTTGATATTTCCAACAAAAAAGGCAACATTGTGATATACCGTTTGTACATATAGAGAGAGACGGACAGAGCTAGATCATATGGACAAGAGTTGAAAAGTAAAAACTGTTTCCCAGTGTTCACGAAAGAATTTGTTCGCCACATACCCGCTTCTGCCTTGCTCCGCCTGATGGATTTACAGACGCCCGCGGTGCCCCCGGCCCCCCGGACCTTTCCCTGCGCCGTGTCATGCCCTTATAGATCAGAAAGGATGGAGGGCGAGGCCGTCCCCAGCCGCGGTGGCCACACGAGGGGTGCCCACAGGGCTTGGCTGCAAGCCCTCACAGGTTGTGTAGCTCCCTTCCCAACCATTCACGGATGCTCCGGGGGCTTAATCCGCAAGAAAACTTAACCAGCAGCAGCAGCCGCTGCCGTGAAACCTTCCCACCTGGGCGTCTCCCACTACTTGTTTCCCATCCTCGAGACCGAGGTATTGAATAGATTTATTTATTTGCATTTACAAAATATTTCCACCGAATGACACACCTGAATGAGATGAGAACTCGTGTTCAGAAACAGCAGAAAAGACCCAGATCGGCATCAGGCTGATGAAGGAACAGCTCCAGCAGCGAGGGTGGGGGGGGGTGGGGTGGGGGCTTCATGGGGGTGGCCTGGTCCTGGGCAAGCCTGCCTGTAGCTCCACGTTCAGGGCTGTGGCTGGTCAGCCGGTTGTGCGATGAAAGCTCGTGCTGGGAGGGCAGCGATGAGATCCCTCAGACACATGAGGAGGAATCGGCCACCAGAGACAGCGAGGAACGGGGATGGAAAGAAAAGGGCTTGGGAAAAACGTATCAGCACCTTCTGGGATACTCAGGGCTCCTCTTCCTGCAAATGGCCGAGACTGTTCATGCCACCTGAGCACCCTCCAAACCCACTCCTGGGCTGCCAGACGCAGGGATGCCTGGACAGGTAGCTGCTGCCTGGAGAACCCTTCGCCTTGCCTCCCATCAATCTGTTGGCCAAAGAGCAAAGCCCAAGCCAAGCAGCCTGCACCACTCACCCACACCCAAGACTAACAGCCCGCTCTCTGCCCATCTGCAAGGGTCGAAACCACTTCAGACGCCATACACCTCAGTAAAAATGAAAGCCCTGACAGCAACAGCAGACTGGCTGAGCGGGAACACTCCCATCACTGGTGGGGGTCACTCGCCAGCTTCAGGTCCGGTTACCGTGATGCGGGACTGCCTTGCAGAGCCGTAACCAGCAGGTCGCTCTGTGCTGGGACGGGCACGTGCCAGCACTGGGCCAGTATGGACCCCTTAGCTCTCCGTGAGATCCATCCCCAAGGAGCACTGCAGGGCTTTGAGGAGGGGGGCCAGCTGGGGGCCCCCATCTGGAGGAGGGAACGACCTCCAGTGCCTTGCCTGGGACCTGTTCTTCCCTCCCGTCGCCATCCACAGACGCAGCATGAGCGGCGCTCAGCAGCAAAGGGACCCCAGCCAAGCTGGGCGCATCCCCCCACCCATGGGTCTGTGACAGAGAGATGGGGGGAGATGGGGTGGGGGTGGCCAAGAGGAAAAGGAGGGGGAAACGACACAAGGGCTTGCACTTAGACTACGCTGGTGGCCAGCTTCCCGAGCCTGGCGGCTTCTGCTCACAGCAACCCGGGCATCAGTTTGCAAGGTGGCACGCTGGCATATGTCGTAAACAGGACAGCGGGTTGATTTTGAGCACCGGCTGGGGGTGGAGGAGCAGGCTGCCACGGGGATGGGCAGAGGCTGTGCATGGACATGGTGGCTGCGTTCAGCCTCCCTTTGCTCCCATGGAGCTCGATTTGTCCATG